AACGCGATCGTCCCATTTGAAATCGTTAAAGGGGTTTCACAATTTATATTTACTGTTTAGTTGCTTTACGTAGGTACATGAATGTACACTACCTGGGGTAAACAGTATCTACCTATTCGACGGGTAAATAGATACTAAAAATAAATTTCACCATCTGATTATCACTTTTATATATCTATTTTATTCACACTTCAAATTCTATTCATAGCGTTAAACGGTACTCCCAATCGTCGTATAAGTACTTAGGTATAATGTATAATGTAAATAGTACATGTTATTTTCTGTTTTTGGAGGATTTAATTTAACACATTTAGCTACCTACATACATAGTACCCAATACATAAATTCTCGTGGTAGTACGCAGTATCTTTAAGAACTTCTACTAAGCATAGGAACTATATTTTTAACCGACTTGTGAGTATCATCAAATGACTTCTCCCGCCCAGGGTTAGGCGAGAGAGAATGTCAGACTCTTTCTGACTAAAAACCCCCCTGTTCCTTCTCCTGCTCTGGGCCGAGGCCGCGGTGACTCATTGCGCTTAACCCGCAACCCCGGCAGAACCCGCAACCCCGGCTAATACAGCAGTAGCTACCTTGTGTTAGGGCTTAATTTTTTTGTATAAGTAGATGAGATTTTTACATCATCTTCAGAATTTTTATATCCTTGTATGAAATGAAAAAATAATAAAAAAAACTGCCATTCAAAACCAAACTGAAAACAAAACTAAAAAGGAATATAAAAGTTACCTATTTTGCTACGCTAAAACTCAATCTTAAAAATAAAAAATTCTATCATCATCATCATCATCATCAGTCATCATGTAGGTAGCAACGATTTCCTAAAAAGATAGGAGAAAGAATTTCAATAAAAAAATCGACAATAATTGTCAGCTTACTTAGTGACAGAGCGATTATTATTTATTTAAATTCATAACTACCTACGCGATGACGTGGCGTTATCACACCCAGCCTCAAAAACACACCAATGATTGTGATGTCATTAGTTACAATTTACTGCAGTAAAATAAATTAATTACAGATTATCTTCGTATCGTGGTTGGTAACAGATAATGTGCTGGTATCACGACTCCTTACACCTGACTATCGGAAATGATTAATAGTTTCTCCTCTATGACGTATACCTATATGATTGGATTTAAATTCTAAGTTTATAGCTGTTAATGACATTGTTTTTGACGTGATAGGACGGGAAATGGTAAGCAATTGATGCCGTGATGCCGTCCATGTACACCCGCAACATCAGAGGAGTTACGAGCGCGTGGCTGACTTTTTGGAGGTCAGGGTTTGGGGGATTATTGAAGGATGGGGAGGATTGGGCCTTCGGTAACCTCACTCACACGGCGAAACACAACGCTGTGATTGTTTCAAGCCGGTTTTCTGTGAATCCGTAGTGTTAATCAGGTCTAGTCGACTCATTTGTAGACATGGTTCACCTACACTTATTGTTTTGTAAATGAGGTTGTGGATCTGTGTAAGTTAAAAGTAGGTATGGCATAAGTTACAAAATACCTAAATAAAAAAGTAAATATCCAATACCTTGAAAAAAATCCTTTTTATAAAGAACCAGCTTCTCTCGCGCGGTTTCTCCCGCTGCTCGTCTCCATTTGATCGTAGCGTGATGTTTTACATCCTGTAGCAGTCCGGAAAAGTCCCAAAATCAGTTGACAAAGTTCTAGATTTTCGTGTGTGTACACTTTAATGATAACGTGTACCTAGCTAATTAATGTATGAGGCATTAGGCATTGATTTCAAGATAGTATACTTATGCTAGCTGTAGATACGTATAAAATTCTTTACTCTCCGATTCTTCAGTGGCGTTTTATCGCAGTAGTCTTTTTTATGTAATAGACCGACGAGTCTGCTCGTCGGTCTTTTACATAAAAAAAATACTAATATTACATATAAATTGACGTGTAAAAGTGCCGTTTTATGGCCTATTTGCAAAAATAAATTCATTGTTTCATTGTTTCATTGAAGAAGGTTCCCGGGGGCAAAACTTTTTTAAATTTTTTTCGTTAAGTCATAAATTATATTATGTAAAAAAACTAGGTGAAACCGACATTTCCTATCTGACTACTCAGAGACCCGTTTCCACAAATCGCCGGCAACGCACCCGTAATCCTTTAGCATAGTATAGAGAGAAGGGCAGTAGGTTATCTCCGGACCAATCCGCGATATATCTCCCCTTGTCTTTATACTATGCAACACTAGAGGTGTTGTGGGTGTCCGATTGCATGCCATCATGGTATACAGTATGCCGATTTTCCGTCCTATCAAATAAAAAAAAACTTACTTGACGACTACTTAGCTTGAAAATATGTAAACATGATAATTTAAGTTGGCAACCAAATGAAATCTATCACGTATACGATAATAAGGCTTCTGTAAATCTACGAATACTTAGCATAATTTATACTTAGACTTAAGTTGTATCTTAGAACAATTATGTTTATGTGACAAATAAAATAATTATAAATCGATTGCCATGTTTCAAATGTCGAATACGTTCTTATAGTATTTGGCATTCCACATTCGAATTTAGAATGTTATTATTGTTTTTTGGCATTCCAAATTCGAATTCCGGATTTTTTTTTCGTTTTAGCTTGCTAATATGATCTATCAAAGCGATCGTTCGAAGGAAATTTGCATAACATTGTAAATATGTCAGATGACAATGAAAGGGATAGATATAAAAATAAATTAAAATTCCTTTTACAAAATTGGAAAGGACTTTCGTTATATAAAATTGACAAATAACACTATTTCACAAAGAAAAAATCGGGTCTTAAATACCTAACGTGAATTATTTATTTGGGCTTGTATAAATTAGCTATTTATTTTTCAAACGACCAAACAAATGAATTGTGAAGGACATTTAAACTCGAAATCAATGAACTATATCAATAAATACTGTTTGTTGTCTGAGTGTAACTTATCTATATTTTACGAATATTATAGATTTTTATTGGCGCCCTAAATTTATTTTACTTATAAAGTAAACAATGAACGCTGAGCTATAAAATAAAATTGACAAACACTGGAAGACATTTTGACAATGAATAAATAGGGAAAGTCACAGAATTTCGTCATCGTTTCAGTATTTTTTAGCAATTCAGATAGCAGAGGGCAGTAACCTTTTGTCAAATTTGGGTTGAAGAAACTTTGTCTCATTTATTCCCGTTGTCCCCCTATCTAGGCCGTGTCCCCGTGTGGAAGAAAGAAATGAAAAGAATTTATTTGGTACCGAACAAGCCGCACAAAGCACCAAAGATTATATTGTACAGAATTAGAATAAAATAAAAAAGGAACAAAAAAATGGAGGTATTCCTCGTAGCGCTCCCGTTTTGAAACGCTCCCATCTAAGCGCTCCCGTTTTTTTCCTCGAAGCGCTCCCAAAAGGAGCGCTTCAAGGAACGATTAAAAATATTAAAATTTACTTCCTTAAAGCGCTCCCACGTTTAAAAATAGGGAAAAGCATGAAGTAAACGTAATGAATTATATCGATAATTTTTAAAAACTCATGTGTGCATCATCGACTTCGAAGTTGCTTAACCAAATTACGAAATTGAGAGAATAATATCTTTTTGCTTTCGGCACTCTTATGTGTAAAAGCATAGATAAACTTAATATATTATATACGTATATATAAATTATATACGTATATAATTTATATATTTATTTTCAATTCAATTTCGTTATTTGGTTAAGCAACTTCGAAGTCGATGATGCACACATGAGTTTTTAAAAATTATCGATATAATTCATTACGTTTACTTCATGCTTTTCCCTATTTTTAAACGTGGGAGCGCTTCGAGGAAGTAAATTTTAATATTTTTAATCGTTCCTCGAAGCGCTCCTTTTGGGAGCGCTTTAAGGAATAAAACGGGAGCGTTTAGATGGAAGCGTTTCAAAACGGGAGCGCTACGAGGAATACCTCAAAAAATGCAACGATGTTGAGTTACAACAATCATAAAACCCAAAATAATTGATTTAATTAATTTTAAAATATCAACATCACGTGTATTCTTGTTCTGTTCATTAATTAATCTAAGACTGATTTTCAAGATTCCTTAGGGGACAGCGCGTACGCAGTCCCCACTACCAAAAATTACGCGTCCGAGTTATCCACATTAGGGATAATCGCAGGGGTCAACCCAATCGCAGTGCAATGAGAGGACCTCGCCCTGGGGGAACCGCCTTCTTGATCACGGTATCCCCTACGCCAGGTAAGTATGAATTCTTTTCTGCGACCGGCGAGGGTCGTCCAACGTCGGAGAATCTTAACACCGCGATTCACAAATGTGACGTCATTGCACAACGCCATCTAGTTATGGGGAGGGTGAACTGATGACGAGCTAGAATAGGACCTGTTTGGAGGGGAAAAAACAAAAACCACACCTGCCAACGAAAACATTAATGTTAAGGCATATTTTAATTTTATTATATTTAATAAATACAGCACTGTTCGCAGCGGTTCACATAGCTCTAAGTTTTGTTTTTCCTTTAGTTTAGACTTTAGAGTAGACCTATCTAATATAATATTTTATATTTCTCTAGCGTGCTACCGCGCCATCAAACACGTGTTAATTTAGTTTGCAACAATGTTCATTATTTACATCATAATATTTTATCTAAGATAGCTTTTTAATCTTACAGTGGCAAGGCCTTCTTTTCTGTGTACCGATTACAAATAGGTATTTGTATTTTGTAAGTCCTGAATTTAATAACATTAAAAGTTCAGAAAGAAAATAAACAAAATTAAATCTCAATAAATACAAGCCTGAGACACGCCTGACCACCTAGTATCGATCTCGTATCAGAGAATTTATGAAAAAATTTTATTTATAGCTCAATTTTGTAAGCACCTTTAGAATCTCGCTTGAAATCAATTCGCAGCGCAACTAGTTGCCGGCGACGAAACTAAACCCAACCATCTGGTCCTAAAGTTTCTCTGAAGAGAATACATATGATTGATCGTGAGCGGCCATAAAAGTCATTTCAGTCTTGTTTCAGGTGACTACAGCCATGTGTAGTCAATTGTCGGCCAGTCTACGCGTAGCTACATCGTCTCATTAACAATCACAATGAGATTTATCTAATCATTATCACATAATACACTTCGATTACTCGATAACTCATACCTTTGTCCGTCTGTGCAGTGTAGTGAACGTGTTTACGATGAAAATTACAATACACTAAGTATTAATTTGAGGTGATTTTTTACTGAGTTAAAAATGGGAGAATTACAGAAACCTGTTCAGCAAAGAAAGGAGAGGTTTTCGCCGTTTTGGAAACAGGTACTTAGATTTTATTTTTTACTCAAAAAAAGTTTTTATTGTAAAATAACGTAATTGGCTTTAAATGTTAATTTGTGTTAAATATATTTATGCACATTTTTATTAAATATTGTAAGAATTAAAATAAGATCGACCATGGTATTAAATACATATACATCAATAAAGTGTGCCAAATATTGTAAATGGGTATACTAACACTTAAACCTTAAATAAAGTAATTATTAATTATTTTATGGAAAATATCTCGAACTCTATCATCTCTCTTAACATTCAATATTCTGAAACCTCAAAGAATAACAAAACGTAGCAAATAATTGGTACAAATTAAATTGAATTATTTCTTAAATTAATGTAATAAATATATTAATTTCGTTAAAATATATAACATGTATTAAAACAGATATAATTGAAGAAATGTAGAAACTGTAATTAAAATAATAATAGGCACAAACCTTTTTATAATCTTTTCATAACGTTAAGCATATAATTGTTGGTGGTATGGCTCCTTTGGGAGTTACAAAACATGAAGTTATGTTAATGATACATAAATCTTACTATGCCTAACTGTACTTTCTGCCAATTGCTTCGCTGGAATACCAGGATAAAAAACTAGCCTATGTATAATTCCAAACTATAATCCAGCACTATACCAAATTTTATTCAAATCCGTTCAGTAGTTTTGTCGTGTAGAGTACTTAGCAAACTAAAATCCATAGTTAAAATTTTCGAGTTTCAATTGTTAATCCATAGATAGATATTAATCCATTTAAAAACATAACAATAATATATTTTATATATAATTCAAAACCTAAGTGTGGGAGAGCCATGCTTCGGCACGAATGGGTCGGCTCGACCGGAGTGATACCACAGCTTCACAAAAAAACCAGCGTGAAACAACCACAGCGTTGTATTTCATCGTGTGTGTGAGGTTACCGGAAGCCCAATCCTTCCCCTTCCCCAATCCCTCCCCAGTCCCTAAATCTTTAAATTCCCAAACCCCTAAAAGGTCGGCAACCCGTTGCGGGTGTCCATGGGCGGCGCTGATTGCTTACCATCAGGTAATCCGTCTGCTCGTTTGCCGACCTATTACATAAAAAAATAACACAGGTTATAAGCGACATTAATCAGGGTTGCCGGGCAAGCGCAATAAGGTACAGCAGCCCCGGCCTAGAGAAGAAGAAGGAACGGGGGGTTTGAGTCAGTAAGAGTCTAACACTCCCACTTGCCATACCCTGGGAGAGAGAAGTCATTTGATGATTTGTCCTCCACAAAGCATTATTTGACATTCTATTTCCGACACCTACATTGCATTGTTTGTCCCGGCTAATCTACTAATTAGCTTTATCTGTGGCAAGTATTTCCTTCGTCATAATGATTTTCAATGACATACGGATTGTGTGGTCTGTGGATCCGTTGATTAGCTACAGAGAGTATTTTAATTGTAGGGGATCTTGCTGTATAGGGGGTGTTGAGGATATGGAATCTTTTAGGATTTGGATTATTGATAAATAAATATAATGTTCTTTCTAGTTATATTTTTATGCACAAACAGAGTATTGCTTAAGTTTAATGAAAGAAAAAGTAGTACTTAAGTCATAAAAGAAAGTCGGTGTTTTAGGGTTCTGCATAGAAATCTGTCCTCGACGAGGAAAACGCACTATAATTTGTCACATATTACATAAGGATGTTATTAGTTAATTAAGAAATCTATATTCAATATTTTCATATTTTTGTGGGAGAATGTTGTTTACGCTTTCGATTTGACATACAAGACTAAGTATCACACTACACACTATATGCAACTGAATGTATGTATATCATTGAACAATTATTTGAAGGTTCAATGAGGGATACAGTTTTTTATCTGATCATACCAAGGAACTTAGGGGTTTGGCACTCACTCTCGCCATACCCTGGGCGAAAGAAGTCATTTGATGATTTACCCTCCACAGAAAAATCCCTCAAATACATTGAAATGAAAATAAATACAGTTTGAAATGTTTAAACGTGTAAGTAATTGATTTATTGACATTATCTTTAAGTGCTATTGTTTCTAACTTACCTATTTATTTGTTGTATGCGCAAAAGATAATCTAACAACAGCTAAACTAATGAAGATTGATCGTCCAAGTGTTTGTGTCAATATTTGTATGGACACTTACCTATTATAAGTAATCTGTACACGTTGGTACATCGGAAAATTCTGTCGTAAACACAATCATAACATAACATCTTATTCGTTTTTCCCCGACGTGAGGGGACACGTGTATTTCAATTGTTATTTCGTACGTGCTCTTAAGGAGTTATACGTATTGGTAACTATTTGTATAAAAAACAAAGAAAAAGTGTGCAACGTGTGTAAGGTAAATATATGATTATCATGATCATCTATGCTCTCAATATTTTTATTTAGCTTCCATTACAATTTATAAGGGGTTGAGGGCCAAACGCAATTGGTTTTTAGTCAGTAAGAGTCTGACACTAGCTGTCGCGGGAAAAGTTTTGGGTGATTTCCTCCCAGCAATAAATGGTATACCTACTTAATAGTATTGTAAATCTGGCCATTTTGACATTATTATACGTAAACCGAGAATGATTTTTTTTCAAATTAAGCGTTGCCTAACTCTAGAATTTTCTCCTGTGTCGTGAGGGCGTTTACCCAGACTTGGAACAACAATTTGTGGATCATACAACGGGTTATTCCATGCGTGAATTGAACCCGCGACAAGTAGCGCGGCTGTCGATTTCCCAACCACCACCAACACGCCAACCGTGCAGTAATTATATCCTGAGAATCCCAAATTCTCTCTCTCAATCACCCTCCTTTACCAGTAAGCGTAGTAGGAAATGCACACGAAGATCCTCAAACAGACAGATACAAAATATATTTGAGCAGTATTTAGAGTTATTCTATCAACTACATACGTTAAAATCAGACGCTTTTTGTAAACATCGACTCTTATAGAGTGTTAATAAGGTCTATTTGGGATGGAAAATTTTGTTGTTTTTCGTTCATACATATGTACTTTCATAGATATACTTTAAATAAGAAACATGACTAAGCTATCGATATAGAGTCCCCCCAATAGAAGAAATTGTCAGGTTCAATAGACCAATAGACCACCACCGATGTGGTCCAATAGAGCTCCTGTTCAGCCAAGGTTGTGGGTCAATAAGATACCGCAGCCTCGGCTTGGAGCAGGAGAAGGAATGGAATTTTTAGGCAGTAAGTCTGAAACTCCCTCCCACCTCACCCAGGGAAGGAAAGAGTCACTAAATCATCTCCGACCCAAACAAAATCGGTCCGAATTTCGAATACTAAACAGCTGAAAACCTGCACATCCACAAACACACACACACACACACACATACAGAAACATTGTGTATATAAGTATTTACTTATACATCTATGTACACTTTGTAGATTTTACTTTTAAATACCAACGACTACTTGTAAAAAACATAATAAAGATATCGCTAATCTTAATTAATCTTAGCTTTTGAATACGAAATGTACGAATGTTAGTATGTATGTATGTATGTATATTGCACTTTTACACGGAAACCGCTGGAACGATTGTGATTAGTTTTGTGTTAGGTAGAGATAGAATAATGTCCCGTCAATTTAATTACATGCATATAATGTATATCACACCAGCTAGTCATCATTATAATAGTTTTTTCGTTAAATACCTAATAGCATATAATATTGGCGCAGAATATAAATAGAACAAACAATAGATTATACCTAATGATGAAATAATAAATTAAAATTATGGAGATTTAAAGTGACATTAAAAAAAAAACAAAAAAGTACGTACTTAAAACAGATGCAGCAAGTTGGTTCAGTTTTGTTCATTTATAATTAACGTAATTAGCAGGAATGGAGGCGCAAGTGCAATTAAACTCTTACTTTCTACTACCGCCTAGAGCCGGTATACTGATACCGGCTCTAGGCGGTAGTAGAAAGTCCGAGATGGTTTTTAGTCAGAGTCTGACACTCCAGCCAGCTTTTTTCTCTCGGGGTGAGGATCCAGGGCGAGAGATTTGATTTGAAATAAAAGTAAGCAGATGATTGCAGATGAACCCTATAGAATAAACTCTAATTTACAACCGGTTTTCATCATGCTACTCAATTATTTTTTTAAACGTTTCTTCACCCTTTGATTTTCTGTGACGTGGGTGCGTTTACAAACACTGAATTTCACATACACCCAGACCCGAAACAACAAATTGTGGATCACACAAAGTGTTGTTCCGTGCGGGAATCTAAACCGCAACATGTTGCACGGCAGCCAATTGCCAAGCCACCGCACCAATCGTGCAGTCAAAATAATTCTTCCATAGTCAAATTAAATATTTTTAAATTTAAGAAGCTATATTTTTTTAACTACTTCTGTACGTCAAACAGCAAACTTATTTATAAATTGAAAGGTAGAAAAAATCTACTATTAACTTTATTGTGAAATCAATGAATGTACTTATGGGTGTACATATAACCATATAAGTTAATTGTGTTGAAAAGTCTTAAGTAGAAATTTATTTTTGACCTAGGTAACCTAGGTAGGAACTACCTACTAATTCTATTTATCGATTATAACGTAATTCAAAAGCTGAATTCATATATCAGTAATACTTGATATCAATTCGGAAACCAAACCCGATATACTTTACTCTGCAATTACACGCACGATTCGGCCAACGACGACTATTTACTGATAAGAGATAAGTATTAGAAATAATTTGGCCCTCAATCTGTAGTACGTAAGATAAACTATATATTAGTAGCAAGTTAACATGGATTCCTGTGTCCCAATGTGTGTTATCATGAATCAAAATTAATAGATGTGCTGATAAGATGTTATCACTAGAGAGTACGGCGTTATCATTTATATCCTTATATCCCAAGGCAGCAGATAATGCGTCATTTGTAACATTTATCATAGTTAACGATCTGTTTGTTAGTCATTTTGCACGTTGTTTATGTGCCTCCATAGAATTTACTAGGCTTTAGATCGGTTGTCATGCCAAAAACTATTCTACAGTTTTCTTTCTTTATTTATTTTCATTAAAAACTATTTCTGTTTACCAATCTAAGGCTGTTGATTACTTTATCAGGCTAATACCCTCTTGCCCTCTAAGTTATATCCTCAGTCAGCATAAGGACTGCATCCCCTGTGGGATAACCTCGGCTCAGCGAGGCTATAGGGGGAGGGCAGCAAATAGAGACTGCTTTGATTTTTTTTCGACTAGGCGCAAGAATTTGCTAAGGTTCATTTTTGCGTTTGCCCCGCAACCCCAGCTGAACATCAGTCCTCTTGGTTTGGGCTATCCATGGCGGTCTATTACGGAACGCTATGCGTAGTACGCTAGTTTGGTCCTGGTCAGGTGGCGAGCTACACTTGACAGACATTCGCAGACAACTACGGTGGCAGAAGATCGCCACACCATCACCTACAGCGGTTTGGGGCGTAAGGATGATAGTTCTCTTACGCACTCTATCTTCTTCTTTGTCAGATATAAATTTAAAAGAAGAGATGACTTCCCAGTTCCCTTCACAGATTTTGATGTTAATTAAAAGCATCTACATTTTAATAATAATACTTTGGCTGACCTGGTAACTCGGTTCCGACAAGGTATGATATTTATACTGTGGTTCCGAGCACATTCCTATTAAATGATAATCAGATCATTGTTCTCGCTAGAAGTAGATGATGAAGAATGGTGAAGATGAAGATTGGTGTTTTATTCACTCTTTGTGGTGGTAGCACTCCTGTCAAACGGACCTATTGACGCCGGAGCGTGGTCTTCCACCGGTCAAGCCCATTCGATCTGAAGCATGACTCCTCCACACTTAAACTATTATAGAAATGCTTGAAATGCAATTAAGTGTGGGAGAATACTTCGGCACGAATGGGTCGGCTTGACCGGAGTGATACCACGGGCTCACAGAAAACCGGCGTGAAACAACCACAACGTTGTGTTTTGCCGTGTGAGTGAGGTTACCGGAGGCCCAATTCCCCTTCCCTAATCATTAAATCTCCAAATCCCTAATCCCTAAAAGGTCGACAACGCACTCGTTACTCCTCCGTTGCTTACCATCAATCCGTCTGCTCGTTTGCCGACCTATTACATAAAAGAAAACTTGTATTTATCGATACAAATGTACGAAGCATGGAATATGGCAACTTTAACCTCTAAACGAGTGAATAATCCCTCCTTCCAACCACGTGTCAACTAACGACCTAGCTCTTGAACAGTGCGCAATTATATTAGCCTACGTTTTAATTAAAACTAATCATACAATATATCTAATCAGAAGATTGTAATTATAATTTTAATCATCGCTTTTGTAATAAAGCATAATTTGTAATCTAATAACGTATTTAAAAAAGTAATATTTAATAATCCCTCGAACGAGTTCTATCTTATCGACATGCACTTGTACAGCACTTCACCTCTGTAAAGTCGGTTAAGGTTGTTGTATGTATTTTTGTTGTTTTAATTAATTAACAAAGAATAGTGTAAGATCAGTGAAAACTTGATTTGTCTGTGATTGTAAAACACAACAACTTTTTATCCATATTATAGGTATTATTGGCACACAGTTTATAATTTTAAAAGTGTTGTGTTATAGAAGGCGCTTTTGTCTGTTAAGAGGTTACTGAAATAATTGTTGACAAACGATTGTGTTGCATCGTTAATGGTATTTTATTACGTGCCACTCTGCATTTATTTGAAATTCAATAGGCATAATAGGTAATAATAAATGCCTACTGCTGAACAAAGACCTCTTCTCGCCCTAGATCAAGGCGGAATGGCGATTTTAAACTTGTAATAAGGAATGATAATTCTGGGTTACCTCGCGATGTGCCTTTAACTTTATTAATACCAATGTTTAATTATGATGTAATAATAATTCCAGGCGTTCGTGACAGCGAGTGTGTCCACAAACATCATCGCCCACGGCTGTGTCATCGGGTTCGCCGCCATCTTGATCCCCAGTCTCCGTCTTCCAGAGTCTCACATACACGCCACACCCAGCGAGGAGTCATGGATAGGTAGGATACATAATATTACGGAGTATCACACATATCTGCAGTTTAAGAGTGGTTGGTGGTGGTATAGTTATCTTAATTATTGTTCCGGCGTGTGAGTGAGGTTACGGAAGGCCCAATCTTTCCCCTTCTCCAATCCCTAAATCTCCAAATCCCTAATCCCTAAAAGGTCGGCAACTCAATCGTAACTCCTTCGTTGCGGCGCTGATTGCTTACCATCAGGTAATCCGTCTGCTCGTTTACCGATATATTATATAAAAAAAACCTACATTTATTTGTAGCTTAGCTGGTGGCATTTACAAATGAGATATTAGGCTATCACGTTGGTCGTGTGGTCGTAAAAGCGACTATTTAGCAGGGGTTAAGGGTTAACTAGACTTTTCACACTATTATTGGGGTTTCTTGTTTTCCTGAAAATTTCTGTCAGACACTATATACCTGTAAAAAGTGCCTCTCTGCCTATCCTTTAGTTAGAGAATAGGGCGTAACAGCATTAAACATATTTTATTTTACCTATTATCTATTTAAATAAATAGCAACCATTTTGATAATAAAGCTGTTGTTAAGACAGTAATAAAAGAACATGTTATACATGGTGCGTGTTAAAGCGTTTTCGTTGTTGATTTGTATCGCATCTAAGTCATATTTCGATTACCGAAATACCTATATTTATAGAGCTTACTTACTGAAATGAAAGAAACACGTTTAAAATTAATTAATTCTCTATTTCCAGCGTCAATCATCGGCTTCGCGTTAGTCACTGGCAACATAATCATCACACCACTTATGGACATTCTCGGAAGAAAGAAGTCACATCTGCTGACCATCTTCCCGGTCCTGACTGGCTGGTTCACGCTGCTGCTGGTGCAGAACGTCGCCGGCCTGATCGCCAGCCGCTTCATCCAAGGTGTAGCCATGGGCATGCTGGGCCCGCTCGGCTCCATCATCATCGGTGAAATGACAGACCCAGTGAACAGAGGGCCGTTCCTCACTTGTGTGTCCTTATCACTAACAATAGGAGTACTGTTCTGTCACTCCCTTGGTACATACTTCAGCTGGCAACAAAGCGCCTTAATATGCTCCTTCATCACATTTACGAGTCTCTGTCTCATTATTTACAACCCTGAGTCTCCGTCGTGGCTGATTGCTAAAGGAAGGATAGACGAGGCGAGGAGAGTCTTCATCTGGCTCCGTGGAGACGGTGATGCCCAAATGGATGAACTAGAGAAAATGATTGCTGCCCAGAGTATGGCGAAAAAAGCAAGCGTAACTGACTTGAATCTGTCGTTCGGTGCAAAGACAAAACGGTACTTCAGCTATTTAGGAGTGACTATGAAGAAACCAGAGTTCTACAAACCTATCACTATAATGGTGTTCCTGTATGTCATGTTCCAATTTGCTGGAATCAACGTCATCAGTTCCTATGCGACAGATATCATCAGACAAGTGGTGGGCCCTGAAGCCAACGCTAAACTGATCATGGTGGCTTTAGATATTGAAAGACTGATATGCAACCTGCTTGCTATTTACTTGATGAAGACCATGAAGAGACGGACACTGCTCTTCAGCACAGGCATGATATGTATTCTCTCGTACGTAGCGAAAGGATTTTACGTCTATGCAAAAGAGAATGACAAACTGCCAATACAAGGCCAGTGGTTGCCAATAGCTTTAATAGGAATTTACATGTTTTCATTGACTGTCGGTATATCTTCGATACCGTTTGCAGTGTCAGGGGAAATCTTCCCGTTAGAATACCGAGGTTTAGGCAGCGGTATCAGTATTCTTGGTTTATCCCTCAACTTCTTCGTGGCCCTCAAGTGTTTCCCCGTATTGACGAATGCTATCGGTCTGTCGTGGACGTATTACTTATATGCTGGTGTGGTCGCGGTGTGTATGTCCGTGGTCTGGCTCATGTTGCCAGAGACGAAGGACAAAACCCTGCAGGAGATCGAAGATAGTTTCCGAGGACAGACTAGAGATAGGAAGAGTTTGGAGCCATTGAACGGCAGGCAGAATGGAGAGACAATGCGAAGAGTCAGTTCCGTTATAATGTACTAAAAACGTGCGGTAAAATATTTAACAAATGTTTGGACTGGAGGCATAAATATACTTAGATAGACAATTTAATCAATTTATGGTGAAAAACAATATTATGTTTGTGTGCAACTGTTGTGACTGTTGTGTTTGGTTCTTTAGTAATTTAATTGTAGTTACATGTTACTAAGTGTGCTTAATTTATACATTGTGAAGTTCAATCTCAGATAAGTAAATAAAACTAATTTCTTTTCTGATCTCTTTATATTTCTCGTAACTATGTATTAACACTTTCAGTGCTCTAGAAGTGCTCCTCTTGACTAGTTCATCACATGACGGAACTTGATGTAGATTTCCTTTCTTTCAAGTCCCAAATATGTTTGTCGTAATAGACAAATAAAAATTATTGCTTGACGTTACCAACACAAGATATTTGCAGCTCCGGAGCATTGAACGTGTTAAATAAAGCCACTCCTCCCTCCAACTGCACCGAAGCAGTAAAGCACATCCTGGAATCCCTCGTTCCTCTTCATCTACATTCTACATTCTTTAATTCCAACATCTTCTCCCCCTCATGTGGCTCATTCTGCCCAATTTCACCTTTAATCCCTTTAAAGTGACACTCAATCTCGTACAACGTCTTTCCTTTAGTTTCTGGCAGCAAGTAGTACAAGAATATGCCACAAATGGCAATGCAAACTGCATATACACAGAAAGTGCCACTGACACCAATCTGCTGAAACGAAAATGGTGCAGTTTTCACAACAACGAAGAACATAATCGAGAGGAACATTCCAGAAATACCACTTCCCAAACTCCTGTATTCCAAAGGAAATATCTCTCCAGCGATAGCCCAGGGTATTGGTAGGATACCTAAAGTCTTTCCAAAAATGTATATTAGGGTAGGAATAACTGGAGTCCACTTGTACCCATCAGCTATGTAGCCGTAATCTCTGAGGTAGAGTAGGATGGAAGTAATTAGTAAAGACACTACGCTGATATTAATTCCAAGGAAGAGAACGGTTCGTCGGTTGAATTTGTTGACGACGATGCAAGAGAGAACAGCTGTCACGAACCTGACGACGTCTACCATCAACATGCTAACGTGGGAGTCGATGGTACCACCACTGACTTCATTCATCATTGGCACAGTATAGGACGGGACTACTGTCATCCCTGATATTTGGAACAATACGAACATGAACATCATAATGATGGTCGGTTTGTAAAACTCTGGCTTCCTGACTATTTGTCTGTATGCCTGCCATCTAGATCCACGTCTTGTTCCAGTAGTTTTCTTCTGACTGTTTAGTAGTATCTCCAATTCCTTTTCTGCACTAGGATCGTATCCTCTGAACCAACGGAAAGATTTCCTGCACTCTTCTACTAAGCCTCTAGATGCAAGGTATGGAGGTGTTTCTGGTGATAATGTTACCAGAATTAAGGATAGGACGTAGACGCTTCCGCAAGCAAGTCCAGCTGATCTCCAGTACAGCACGGTTCCAAAAACATGTGCGATTAACATTCCGGTGGCGAAGGAGAAGGCGATGGTGGCGAGGAAGGCTCCTCGATGCTTTGGAGCAGAGTACTCAGCTATGGAAACAGGTGCAGCTGCTGCCTGGACGCCCATGCCGAAACCCTGAAAATAAAAAACTTTGTATTAGTTTTCTGGATAAGTTTGTGTATCGAAACCATTTTAGGTTAGGTTAGGTAAGGTGGATCTATGAATATCACCCAGTTGACATCTATGGACAATGAATAACAATTTGTTATCAATATTACAATGAATATGAAAAGACTATCAGATATGATCAGTGGCCATTACACACACATGGACATTGAACTGATACTCTAACCGGGTCAATTCGCTACTTATAACCTATATTGGTAGCAATTGATTTTATTGATGCATTACAATTTATTTTTACACCTACAATCGAGAAAAAAAAAGACGACCATTTGAAATCAATATATCGCTTAGACGTAAGGTACATTCATGTATGATAGGAACCTTCATTTTATCTATTTTTATTTTTTGTAAAATGTGCAATAGTGGGATTAACGCCTTAGGCATTCTCCACCAGTCTACCTTTGGGTGGTGGAGAAATAGTAGTGGCAGTTTATTTTGGAAATAGGTAATAGCAGTTCATCCTTATCAAATAGTAATCCATTTTGGACTGAGAAAAGACATTGCTAATGTTTTGAATAGAATTGTAAACTGATTCCAAAATTTGTGTGTGTGTTAAAGATGGAGTTGTTTTAAAGCTTTTGGAGAACTCTTCCTAACAATCTTTACCTCCTTAAGGGACCATCGGATCTTAAGCCTTTAACTGCCGTGCTGCCGACAGAAAACTGTTGAAGTTAAATCCTCCGCTAACGGAAGTCACCGGTGACCCCCATGTCAATGCTATGCAATGTGTTAATTACGACCTCGCAAGTCTTCACTGGCCTCTCTGGACCTCTGTTTCAATACGAGGATTTCTACTAGGAATTCACTTGTCCTAAACAGAATTATGGTGGCTAATAGAATTGCACCACACAACGAAAGTGCCACACAAATACGTTCAACCAGCGAAAAAACAAAAATAGTTACTTAAACTTTTATTACATATCTGCCTTTTAAATGGTTTTAGAGGCATGCAAGCAATGGAAGAATCTGCTACCATCAGGTAAGGACCTCAAAGAAGGAGTACTTCTCATTTTCTGAACCACGTGACTTACCAGTAAAGATCTGCTGATAAGCAATGCTGTAGGTCCTTTAGCTGTAGCTAATAGCGCCCAGCCCCCAAGGGTCGGTAGAGAGCTCAACTGGTTGGTCAGTTTACGGCCCAACTTCTGCAAGCTGAATGGAGCCACCACAATGCCGGCAATCAGCGCCAGGCCCAGAATTGAGGCTGGAAACGAGATGGTTATTGTTAATGGATTGGTCAATGAGAAAGTAAAATTTGTTGTTACTAAAGTTTGTTATAATCGGTTTTTGATTACTTTTGCATAATAGTTAGTGGAAACTAAGTCAAGTCAAGTACGGTGTCCAAATACTAGAAACCTTTTGAAATTTTGTTGAAGATTACGAATGACGTCGCGCAGCTGACTGTTTCTGCGCAACGTCTCCGCGACGCTCAATAAAAGCCACGTTGTGGCTTGAAACTAGTAGAGCTTTTCTCAATTAAATCGCGTGATTAAGTCGTTATCTATACTAATATTATAAAGAGGTCAAGTTTGTATGTTTGTATGTAGGGGGTAATCTTTGGAACCGCTGCGCGCTGGTCGGATTTCCAAAATTCACTGATAGATAGCTACAGTGGTCCTGAGTGCTATGGGCTATAAAACATCAACCTACGACCATAAGGAGAGCAGTGCAGCGGGTGAAACCGCTCGGCAATAGCAAGTTTGCAAAGTACCAATGTCTCGGGATAGTAAATTGTACAAAAACATTTTGAAACGTTTACTTTTCAAGTCAAAGTCAAGTCAAAAATCATTTATTCCAATTAGACCTTTACAGGCACTTTTGAACGTCAAAAAAAAATTTTGAAGATATAGTGTCAGTCTGTCGGTCAGTCCTCTTATGCCCGGTTCCTATAATTGAGAAACGATCCGTTTTAGTTACGAATAGTAGTTTTATATACGACTCGTAAGCTAAAACCGTTCCTATAACAAACGTCTCGTCGTGCAACTTACTGACGGTTTGCAACTAACGGATGTCGGTAAGCGAATTGTATGGAGATCTATGGTGTCTGTGGTGTTCCTATAAATATTTTAACCGTCAGTAGACGGTCAAGATAACTATTCGTAATGTCATTTGGTCGTAATGCGTATACAACGACGATTCGTTAAATATAGGAACCGGGCATTAGTGAAGCTATTTGCTCGTGCAAAAGTGTAGATTCCGATGGAGAAGAACTTAGTAACAAAAAGGAAAATTTAAAATATTAATATGAACTCGTTATCTCATACATTCTGTATAAACAAGCGTCTAAGAGAAAACTTCAACAACCTAACTTACGTATAGATATTTGCGAATCCTAATATTAGCTATACACTTGACCTTCCATTCTATTGGTTTAGCTAATCGACTCGTATCTTATCCTAACAGGACATTTGTAATTATAAATGAGTAGAGTCAAATAGATATCCAAAATAAGTTACCGGCAGCCGGCCGCTTTATTTTGTTAAAAAATGGCAAGTCTTGAAAATCTGGGACAATAAGCGCTAATTACTGGACACGGTAAAATTCCGGGGCAATCCCCAATACTTACACATAAAAATATGAGTAAGTATGTAGAAAAAAATGATTGTGCATATTACTAGAATAATTGCATTATTATCTTCAAATGGGTGTCTTCACCGTATTGTAGCGTGCAGCAATGCAAAGCTGGGCGGCGTGACTGCACTAATGATGTCGTGAGGGCAAGATATTGCATTCATTCGGCTGCACTTAGATATAATTTGAGTGGTATGAGACCTTTTGGAAGACGCCTAGATTATGGGTCTGTGTTCTTGTATTATTTGATTCTATGTTAGTATGCTCTGGTCTGTGTGTTGCCATAAAACGAAGGCAGCCAGTCAGTTCGTGTTGATTTTCAAAACTAATTATTATGTTTTCGGCTTACTCACGTAATAATTTGATGAGATACTCGACTAGTTTCAAGCCATGCTAGAGGCCCATATTCATGAGCAGCATTCCGCGACACGCGAGTCGGCGACTGTCGCGCTGCTACTGTGTGCATGAGTAGTAGCAGCGCGACAGTCGCCGAGTATCTCGTCAAATTATTACGTGAGTACCTAAGCCGAAAACATAATAATTAGTTTTGAAAATCAACACGAACTGACTGAATGTCTCACGAAAGTTATATTAAAAAGATTTTAAAAACCACTCAAGTCAAAAAATGATTTATATATGATAATATAATGCGGTAACCAGCGAGGTTGAAAGCAAGTTGATAAAGTTAGGTTTTTAAAGCTTTTTTTTGATAAAAACTACACAAATAATACATAATATATGTACATAAACTAATTTTAGATACATATTTACAGTTGAACTTATCTGTACTCTTATAATGTCAAAATACCGTAAGAAAATTAATTATCATCATCATCATCATCATCAGCCCATAAGTGCCCACTGCTGAGCAAAGGCCTCTTCTCACACGGAGTAGGTTTGAGCATTAATCACTACGCTTGCTGAAGGCGGATTGGCGATTTCAAACTTATAATTAGAAATTATCAGTCCAGGTTTCATAATGATTCTTCACCGTACGTCAGTGGTGTCTATATAAATAATATAAATAATGTATATCTTAAAAATAAAAGAAAACAACAATTTACTTTCAGTGAAGATAATACTATTATAATAACATTTGAATAAATTGGACTTTGGAATCTGACGTTTCTGCTCACATGATTATGATTCGTAATCTTTAGTAAATTGCAATAGCCAAAAGTCAACTAAATATTTGTTATCTGTGGTAAAAAGGGCAGAGGTGATCGTCACGTCACTATTCTGTGTCATTAACCGCTAAGTACTCATTAGTCAGTTACATTATCTGTGGTGCGTGATTTTTTTGTTTATTAAATCTATATCTATTACTAATATTATAAAGAGGTAAAATTTGTAAGTTTGTATGTAGGGGGTAATCTTTGGGACCGCTGTTCGGATTAGCAAAATTCTTTCACTGATGGATAGCTACAATGTTCCTGAGTGCTATAGGCTATAAAACATCACGCTACGATAAAATGGAGCCAAGTAGCGGGTGAAACCGCGCGAGAGTAGCTAGTCATTTCTAGATCTGCACATATATTTTTTTGTATGTCATAGGGTAGAATAGAATAGAATAGAATTCATTTATTTGCAGGAAGCATGGTACAGAAAGATCTTAGAGCTAAACAGTGAAACTTCACACTTCGCCATAATACAGATGGCATGCAAAATTTATCATTTTCAGGGTTCATTGTATGTATACCAATGAAACGTCAATTACATGTGCAGAATAATTATACAATTGATTACCAAATCACCAAAAATACAAAATAAGTAATATGTCAGTACAAAAAATTATTAATTAACACAGTAGTCAAGGTATAAGAAAGTCAAGTTTACAATTATTACAATTAATGTCTCTGTTTTTGTATCAAACGTCAAAATTGTAGTAAAAGATTTCAATGTCACCTTAAGAAGTCATTCAAGTTGTAAAAACTGTGTTCTATTAGCCACCTATATAGTTTAGTTTTAAACAAATTCAAAGGAAGCTCTCTGATACATTTCGGAATTTTATTAAATATTTTTACGGGCATTATAGAGCAGTTCTTTTGACAATAGGCTGTCTTACATGGTGGCATCAGCAAAAGAGTGGGGTCCCTTTTTTTACAACTGAGTTTAATTTATTGAACATTTGTGGGAAATGCCTACGTTGTTCTTTAACAAATATACCAGCTTGAAGGATGTATAGTCCAGTTAAAGTTAGTAATCTAAGTTTTTTAAACAATGGTCTACATGATACCAGGGGCCCAACTCCACATATTGCTCTAATGCATTTTTTTTGGGTTATGAATGCTCGTTTAATATCGGGTGAATTTCCCCACAAAAGAAGTCCATACCTTAAAGAAGAGGCAATAAAGCCATGATACGCTAACAATGCAGTTTTCTGTGATGAAGTCAGTTTTAACTATTTTAACGCAAATACAAATTTGTTAATTTTTTTTGCATATATAGCTAATATGTGCCTTCCAGTTGCAATGGTTGTCCAAAACAATGCCGAGAAACTTCATTTCATTAACTAGTTCAATATTATGCCCCCGACATGTTAAACTTGTAACACTCTGGCTTGCTTTTGAATTATAGTTTGAAAAATTCATGAATTTCGTTTTGGAGAGATTGACGCATAATTTATTATTATCTAGCCAATTTAATATACATTCCACCGCAATCTTCAACCGAGCCTCTCGAGTGATTGCATTTGAATTATGTGTCACAACAAGCGATATATCATCAGCAAACATTACGCATTGATGATTGGTAGCTTTAGGCAGGTCATTTATAAATAGTAAAAAGAGTAAAGGTCCCAGAATGCTGCCTTGAGGTACCCCAGTTTTATTATGTTGAAATTCTGATCTAAATGCACTTAACTTGAAGTCTTTATCTATTCTTTTAATTTCTACACATTGTTTCCGCCCTTTCAAGTAGCTTTTAAGCCAGTCCAGTGCAGGTCCTCTAATACCATACAATTCACACTTATCTATTAGAATGTCATGGTTCACGAAATCAAAAGCACGGGTCATGTCAAAGAATATAACTGAGACAGGAATACGTTTATCGATAGTCTGCGTTATGTTTTTGATTAAATTAAAGGCTGCTAAGGTAGTTGACTTTTTTCTTTGAAAACCATTTTGTTCTTCCGTTATAATATTATGATTGTCAAGAAATCCTGTAAGACGTTTGTGCATGGCTTTTTCAAATATTTTGGATATAATATTTATGAGGGTTATTGGGCGATAGTTTTTTAGTTCGTGTTTGGAGTTCTTTTTGTGTAGTGGTCTGACTATGGATACTTTAAGTTGCTCAGGAAATGCCCCCTCAGTAAATGACAGATTAATCAAATGTGTAAGGATGGGTGATAATGTGCCGGCACAATATTTTAATACTTGTGTTGTTATACCATCTAAACCTACCGATCTTGTGTTATTTAATGAATATATAATTTTTATAACTTCTGTTTCAGTCATTGGTCTTAAAAATATGCTAGAACTAACGCGGTCTATATTGCTTAGTTGTATGCTACCTACCCGGGTATTTTGTGCATTAACTTTTTCCGTTTCAATGAAACAGTCATTAAAAGTATTTGCAATCGCTAAAGGGTCCGTAACAAGTTGGTTATTTACGTTGATACATTCAATTTCG